AAAAGAAGATGAACCCACTCCGGCAGAAGATATTGTTGTCACCAAGTATAAAATGGCCGGTGACATGGTCAATGGTATTAAGAAACTTTTCAATTTGTAAAACTCTGTATTGATGATTAATATGAAACAATTTAACTGTGTTAAATACGTAAAGTCAATTACATTATGTCCCGGCGTCTCGAAACAATAAAATGAACTATTTCACAACACTGTTGAAAGAAGAATATTTTTAAAGCGGTTCAGAACTGGTCACTAAATAGGTGAGAAGATCTGTAAGCCGCCGGATATGACAATCCGAACGGTATTCCGAGGGTCCCGGGTTCGAGTCCCGGTCAGGATTCAGGGTCAGCTTGGCCCTGAAACGTACTCGGCCGCCGAGTCAGCTCGGCCCTTTTCCAACCACAACATAAAAAATAATTATCTTAATCTGAATCGCGGTAATAATTTGTGCTTGAAGTCAAAGGGCGCCAATGTGTAGATAGTATGCCTTAACAATAGGCCATCTCTCATTCTGTCCACCTTTATCCGATGTGCGATTCCGCATGCGCGCGACGAGACTTTAAGCTTACCGAAAGTGTCCGATCCTTGTAATATAAATCTGTGATTTTAATAAACAACCTTTTTGATTGGTTATTTCATCAGTTAGGTCAAGGGTCCCTATTGTATCATTACGCCAAACTGTATTTAGGTTCGGTTTGGCGCCTTTTAGTTCCAGTTTTTGTCAAGACATGTACTCAGTCGGTTGTTTCTTCAAATTTGCCACTCCCTCCCGCCCTTTTGTGTTTTCAGCTCATCTGTCACAAAGTGACAGGGTGAGCTTTTGTGATCGCTTTTCGTCCGGCCCTCCGTAAACTTTTACTTTAAATGACATCTCCTCAAAAACCACTAAGCCAATTCAGGGCCCTCGATCAACCAAATCTGCGGCCGATATTCGGCCGCAGTCCCCCACCAAAATAGTATGTTTTTTTCCCCCTAACAGAGGTAAAAATTCCCCCTCAAAACATATAAAGTGTTAAAGAGAAAAATGAAAACTAATGTTGTTTTTGAAAATTAAAATCAATCTATTTGACGTATATTTTGTAAGTGGAATATCGTACAGTACATGTCTGCACGTTTCCGTTTGTTTTTTCCCTCAAAATCTACCGTCACATATTGGCCTTTCATCCTCTAAAAATGCTAAAATTTCAACAGAAATATGCAGAAAAAAATCACAATTCCCGTCAACAATTTGATTTCAAATTGTTTATTCATGAAATCATTTTTTTGTCTTCAAAATGTTACATCAACCACGGTAAATTTTGCCGTAAATTACAAACTTGTAAGTTTTGTTTTCATGATACTTTATTAAATAACTGATGAAAAACGATCTTATAATAAACAATCAATTTAATTTTATATAATTTACATCGGAAACAACTAGAATTGTGGATGTGTAAACACAAAACAAACAAATTTTCATTTGTCACATATTTTCGCGATGCCGATTTTTACGAATGTTTTACAAAGTCAAGAAAAGGAAGCTTTGTCTTAGTAAAAGGTGTGTTAGAACACTAAAAATGTAGTTTATGAATAGAATTTACTTTAGGTCCATGTATTGTTCATATTAGTGGAAATGAAGACATTTGTCTGAATGTGTTTCTTAATGCTTATTTTTATTCTATATTTTATTTTTTTATTGGGGGGGGGGGGGGGGTGAATCATAAAGAAAGCTTAGCAGCATAAAGATCTGATGGTGTAAGGTGTTAAAAAAACTTTTCTTCAAATCTTATCAATCACTTCTGAACAGTTTAGTGTAACCTATTTGGGATTTTTAAAAAAATAGTATGCGTGTAAATAAAAAAACAGCTGATATTTAAATAAGTTTATTTGTTATTTGATCATGAAAAAAAGAGGAAAATTCCCCCCATACACTAAAATTCCCCCTGCTGAGGGTAGCGACCCGCTTCCCCCAAATTGGATTGAGGGCCCTGCAATTTAATCCAAACTTCACAGGAATGTTCCTGTGGTGGTCACCTTTAAAAATTGTTCAAAGAATTTAATTCCATGCAGAACTCTGGTTGCCATGGCAACCAAAAGAAAAAAACTTTAAATATCTTCTTTTAAAAAACCCAAAGAGCTAGAGCTTAGATATTTGGCATGAAAAATCTTCTAGTGAGTGTCTACCAAGAATTATGTCATAACCAGAAACTCGAAATAAGAGATAATCGATTTTAATAGAGCAGGAAGACACGTTATTAATTCACAAAGGCATAAAATGAATAATACACAAAATGATTATCCTAAATAATTCATACTACACTGTATCCTCGATAACTCGCTCTTCACTATAACGCTAATCTCAGTAGAGCGCTCATAGACCTTGGCTCCCAAAAAAAAGAAAAAAAAACAAAAAACAAACTTCCCCCCCAAAAAAAACTTCCCAAAAAAAAACACTATTTTTTTTTAAGTAGACTTAGATTTATAGCGCGCTATAACGCTTGTTCAATTTGATAGCCAAGTACAATAAACAATTGTTATTAGGACATTTATGATCGCCAAAGGTGTGAAAAACATGCCCAGGTAAGCGTTTATCCGCTCTTTTGTTGTTTTACCTGTCTTCAGATTGTTTCCAAAATCTCAAATTCATATCACAGGGTTTTTTTCAGTATTTTGGGAACATGACCCATACCCTTGAGATTGGGAATTTTAGCGGCATTTTGCCCTAAATTGGGAAAAAACAAACAACATTTTCAAGTTTCCAGAGGCAATATATTCCTTTTCTAATATGATTTAGTTCACAAAAGTAGGTCTCTGGTTTTCATATTTTTGAACTGTGTTATTGTATCATTTAGTTCCTGACTAGAAAGGGACTTGTGCCCTTGATTGTGAACACAAATACGCATTAATGCATCCAAAGAAGACTGGTTCAGTCTGCTTCTGCTGGAAGTACACAGAGAGTTCATGAGACTAAATGTCCTCTCAACACTTGCTGTGCTGCTTGGAATGGTCTTAGCCAGCCCAACAAAGTAAAACATTATTGGGAATGCATTGCGGAGCACTTCATCTTTCACCATTTCTTCATACAGTTCAGGTCTTGGATTCCTGTGCCTTAAAAATAATAAGTGATGCATTAGGTTATTATTTACCACAGATTTTGTAAGATTATTTACAAATTAATAAATGATAATTAACTGAAATCTCATTCTGCATAATTTAACTAAGTGTGACTGTCAGTCATGCAGTTTAAATTACTTTAATAACATGTTTAAATTTTTATTGTATTAAGTTTAACTATAAATATGTTTCATCTGTTGTATTATAATTATTATGTGATAGTCATACTTTTCTTTGAATTTAGCAAAACTCTGTCTTCTTATCACTAATCATAATGATAAATAATTACACAATATTATAAACTTACTAAAATAATTAGATGGTTAACAGTAACAATTTCAGTGCTGCATATTCTACTGACAGACTGTGATACTGAAAGTTAATCTGCCAGCACTAGAACAACTCAACTGGAAGGGAAATGCAACATGAATAAATACAGTAACAGTAAACAACTGGAAACAACTGAAAACAGTAACATTTGTAAACTTGGCAGGCTGAGGAAATTTCCAAACAAACCATGCCAATAATTTATTATAAACTTGAACAACTGGTAACTAAGAAAAGGAGTCACCAACCTGACTGTAACTCTGTAAATTTTTAAGGAGTTTAACAGAGCAATTTGAAAACAACATTGAATTATTAATTAAGTGCTACTAGGTTGAACAGAAACTGAACATGCAGAACATTAAACTTAACTAAAACTGAATATGCACCCTTTCTACTTAATAACTTACTTCAACATCAACATCTGTCTTTTAAATTGGTTAAACTCTTGAACAATTGCGTCCTCAGTGTACACTGGCTGAACTTCAACTCTGTGACCCATGAAAACATCCAGTCTGGGTCTACCATAATGACTAGCAAGTGTCTTAATAGCTTCCTGAAGAAACAAATTGTTTAAGCAACATTGTTACAATGTCAAGTTACAAAATGTATATTGTAGCTTTTTACATAATTATAATTAATAGGATAATTTCATTTAAATTTTATAATATGAATTATGCAAAAAAATGTTTCTTCTCTGACTTACTGAGTTAGAGTGTCAGACTTTCTACAAGCATGGATAAGTGACCTAAGTAACATTTAAGGTACTAACTGTTAAATCATTATTATAACTATTAATATACCTTCTTATAGTCCTTCAGTTCTTGAATGTCATCTGGGTCAGACTCCAATCTAAATGCATTAAATGCACAAAGAACAGGAGAGCACCTGAAAGCATCTTCAATTTCTTGTATAAGGTGGTGGGTTATAGGTACAGCTACTTCATTCACAAGATGTTCTGGATCGTAAACTCCATCATTCCCTCTGTAAAATTAATGGGACATTCACATAAAAAAGTTTTTGGTGGAATTAAAAAAATATTTTTCTTTTCATTGAAAATGTTCACTCTATATGACATATTACTAATGACAATTTAACTGACTGGGGAATACATCATGATGTTTCAATTATGAATACCTTAATCCACCGTAGGGAACGTGTTACAGTATCGCGTTTTGGGGTTACAGTATAGAATTTTCAAGATGGAGGATTATTTATGGGAAGAGAGGTAGGTGATTTTTACTCAGGTCCATACTACTAGTAGTTTAGTTTCTAAAATGTGTTTTTGTGCTTTGCTTGTAAGGAACAGAATCCGGTATCTAGTCATAAAATTCTTCAGACCCTGCATCGCAGATTTATCTCTATATTGTCTCATAAATGTGCAGATTTGAGAGTCTAAAAATTTGAATCGAGAGACCAACGCATTTTTCTCCAATTCCGACATTATTAAAGCATGCCTAGATAAAGTAAATCTACAAAACGTTAGTCCTTTGTGTTTAGAAACGTTTATAAAAGTAAATGACCAGTAGAACCTATTTTCCTGTTGGTAAAATGCGTTTGAAAAAATAAACAATGTTACAGTATAGAGCGAGGTTAATTTTGAAGGGTTACAGCATAGACCTAGCGACTTTGATCCAATTATGTTACAGTTTATACCCAGAGTTCGGTTACAGTTTAGATACTTGCCAAATTTCAAACAAAGTTCGTGTATCCATTATTTTAACGAAATAACTCATACCTTTCTATTTAATACATTCTTGAAAGGTTGTATTACTTTTTTCAGCAGAAAAGTTATAGTTTGCTATTTTTCTTACTTTAAGTTTCAGATTGAGACTTTTTGCAGAATAAGTAATGTCCTCTTTCTATTTAATACATTCTTGAAAGGTTGTATTACTTTTTTTCAGCAGAAAAGTTATAGTTTGCTATTTTTCTTACTTTAAGTTTCAGATTGAGACTTTTTGCAGAATAAGTAATGTCCTCTTTCTATTTAATACATTCTTGAAAGGTTGTATTACTTTTTTTCAGCAGAAAAGTTATAGTTTGCTATTTTTCTTACTTTAAGTTTCAGATTGACACTTTTTGCAGAATAAGTAATGTCCTAAGTAAGGACTGTTTTCACGACAACAACAGTAACTTTTATCGAATTGTATTGAGAGAAGAAAGATTATTGCTTGATTTCATTACACATTATAATAATGCCTATTAGTAATTAAATAGAGAAAAAAGAATCCTTAACAGAAGTCCAACACGGAAAACATGAAAATGTTGCAGACTCAGTTTGATTAAACCTGTTCATGGACGGTAGTGGTAACTGCAAGCTACCGTCCACGCCTCCTAGCACCGGCTTCAGCAGAATTCACATTAAACATGAACTAGTACACTTTAGATTTTTTAACATCTGTGTATGTGTTCATATAGCGGTTATCATGGAACCTTCAATGTGACACGTTATTGCAATTCTATGAAAAGCGGCATATTACCACCAGGTTAAAAGTTGCGTGTGCCCTAAACGAGAATACAATGACTGAAACTAAATAAAATGAAATTTTGAGAGGGGATCGGAGGTTATGAATCCTGCATACCATAGATAAGCTGTCAAAAGACACAATTAACAAGTAGGCAATACCCTAAGAATGATTAAACAGTATTTGAGTGAGCAATACTGCAATCTTAAATTTTATTTTAAGTTGGAATTTCCATCTACCATAATGTATTTTGTAAGTATTTAAAAGGTTTGTTACGTTTGGCTTGGATTTTAAGTTTCAACGACACTGAGGTCATGTGAAAACATTCCTGCTTTAGTGTAAAGAAATACCCCAGATACCCTTTGTGAAACATTTCAGACACAAGCGGGCACCTGACTAGAACCACCGACCTTCCGTAAATTAGCTTGATAGATTCCTCACATACAAAGAATCCAAAGTCATGATTGGATTTCAACTACAGCAGTAAATGAAAGATGATTTGATATGGACGGACTTATCCCGACTCTGCCACTATACTATTATGTACCTCCATGAGGCTAACTGGAGAAGATATTGTAATTGTCTGACCTTAATTTATACTCTATAACTTTCAATATTATTTTCTTTTTCAGAAACATGAAAACTGCTACACAGGATGTCTGAAATATAAAAAAACGACTTTTAATTTAATAATGACAAAATAATCGTAACTTCAACAAAGAAGCATTCGAAATGCCATGATCATGATTTGATTTGAATGCTTTTGGTTCGAGATGAGAAGGGTCTTCAAACATTGCCTTTTTTCAAAATCTATGTTTTGGGTTTTCGTATCCCCGATTACAACCAAAACCATTTGAACAACTTAGGTAGATAGTCATGTAAATTTCATCACATTTAGTCAAGTTGCTACTGAGCGGATGAAATTGCATATACATGTGTTCGACAGACGGACTAATAGCCATCGGGCCAATAAGCTCACAGAGATTTAAAAGTCTATGTAACATTCATACTTTTTACCTAATATATACAGAAAATATCGAAGTCTAAACTGTAACTGAAATATGGGTATAAACTGTAACAAAATCGGATAAAAATCGCTAGGTCTATGCTGTAACCCTGCACAAATCACCTCGCTCTATACTGTAACATTGTTTATTTTTTCAAACGCATTTAACGAACAGGAAAATAGGTTCAACTGGTCATTTACTTTTATAAACGTTTCCTAACATAAAGGACTAACGTTTTGCAGATTTATTTTTTCTAGGCATGCATAAATAATGTCGAAATTGGAGAAAAATGCGTTGGTCTCTCGATTCAAATTTTCAAACTGTCAAATCTGCATATTTATGAGACAATATAGCGATAAATCTGCGTTGCAGAGTCTAAAGAAATACATGACTAGATACCGGATTCTGTTCCTTACAAGCAAAGCACAAAAACATCTTTTAGAAACTAAACTACTTGTAGTATGGACCGGAATAAAAATCACCTACCTGTCCTCCCAACAAATAATCCTCCATCTTTAAAATTCTATACGGTAACCGGAAAACGCGATACTGTAACACGTTCCCTACGGTGTAATCTCCTCATCAGAATAGTTCTTTCATCAATTTCCATGAAAAGAGCTGGCATCTTGGAAAAGTACAAGTCAGCATCAGGAGTCTGGATGGAGTCATGGAACCTCTCTGTCAGGGTGTGTAAGGCATCAGTCAGATCCTAAAATTAAAATGTATAACAGTAAGCTTTAATCCCTTTTGACTGTCAGACAAATAATTTGATCAGAAATCAAATCATAAATTTCAATAATTAATTTTAATATTTTTACCTTGGCTTTTTTGTTGACATGTGAGAAGTCTATACTGGCACCTTGAAGATAATCACTAAAGACAATAACTGGTTCCAACAGGTCACATAATATCAGGATACCAGCCAGAGTACCCTTTGAACACAGCATGTTTCTCAATCCATCAATTTCTGGGTCATGCTTTCTGTCAATCATTTCGTCTAGAGCATCTAGAACCTAAATTATTTAAAAACAAGAAATCAAAGAGAACAATTAAAGAATGTTTCAAAAATTATTAATATTTTTAACTAATATCCTTAATAAAAGAATTATGATTCTAGAATTTTGAATGGCTTATATTTTTGCTATATATAATAATTAATACATGAATTATTAATACATGAAGTCTACTGGTAAGGTGTATGCTTAAATTACCTGGACATAGCGTTCAATAAGACGTCTACATGCCCTACCATGCGACAACCACCTTGTAGCTGCAGCCCGTATCATCTTAAGGTTCTTCAACCCATAGGCTTTCTGTACATCCATGAAGATAACATACTTCTGCGGACTGTAATGGAACAGTTTCCAAACACTTAAAAGAAGACTGTCAACATCTTGTAAGACCGGAAAGCTCAGCATCAAGTGCTTCACACACAGTGCTAGTTTGTGGTTGCGGCAATTTAGGTAGAGTTGGTACGGAACATGGTGTCTGAACCTTCTCTGAAGACCTGTAATGATGATGATCAAGTTAAATCCAGTGACATTTAATATTGTGACAACAATTAAATTTAAAAATTCTTGTAAATAAGACATGTTGGTAAAGGCAAAAAAAATTTTGATTCATGTTTACAAAAAGATAATACAAAGTGAAACTCACATCCGATCAGATCTTATTTTATTTGCTGAACAAAACATTACAGCTTGGAGAAAAACATGGCATTTCTTGGTATTGCCAGTTGCATTTGTTGTAAGAATAGATTGTCAATTTGTCATATTAATATTTCAAGACCTGAATTTCAATAAATACCTTTGTTCTCCCCACTCATCCTATTACATCCATCAAACCCCACAAATAAGGCCTTTTTTATCTCTACCCCTTTTGCAAGCAGAAAAACTTCAAGTGACTTCATAAGTGAGGCAGCATCAGTGCGTTCAACATGGTTTATTCCAAGAAACTGGTCAGTTACCCTTGTGTCGTGTGGAAACCTCACCAAAATGGCAAATTGTTCTTTGTGAGCCTCATCCGATGATTCATCGGCCAATAGGGCATAGTATGGCGCCTTACGAAGTTTTTCCAGTAATTGGTTTTCAATAACATAACTTGTTGCAGTTAAAAGGTCTGTTACTGTTGTTGATGAGGAATATTTCAAGACGGATGACTGTTCACTGTCAGATCCATTCAAGTACTCAGATAAAGAAGGGGGGCCTAAACCTGCTATAAAATCAAGCATTGGCTGGAAACTGTCTAGAGCCCAACGTTGTGAAACAATAAAGTACAATATTTTTATTAATGAACTAATATAAGCTCTATTTCTCTCAATATCATTTTCCCTCTTAATCATAGAACTTTCAGTTAACATGTCTGCAACAGTTTTTTTCACTTTCTTAGTAGAACTAGTATTAACCAAGACATACTTGGCGAGTGAATTCTTATGGCTCTTCCCATTTAAATGACTTTCTAATTTTCTGGTTGGATGATCCCCAAGACCTGTACCATTTATGAAGACGTTGTCATCTGTTGCTGAAAAAAGCTCGCACAATTTGCAACAATACCCAACTTTTGCACCACTATAATACAACCAGTCATATTTCAACTCGTATTTGTTGGAACTGAATAACCTTTGATCAGGGACAGGGACAACTGTATCTGACTTAGACTCGTTGCTAGAACTTTTAAAACCCTTAGGAACATCATTGTCACGGTAACTCACGCTCACCGTTGAACTTGAAGGCAATTTCTCACTAATACATGTACTTGCGGTTTCATCCGCCGTTACCGTTTCCGAAGTACAACTCTTTTCCGAGAGAGCCGCTTGTTTAAACATCAAATCAATTTTTCTGTCTTTATCGGTGCATTTTTTAAGTTTTTTTACATAATATTTTGAATTGTGCGACATTTTGATCTAACTTTCACTTTCGAAGGTCGTTGCTATCGTTAGACGCTCGATAAACTAATAGTGAGAAATCAAGCGTCTACTTAACACGTGGGTTGTTTAGACGCCGGCTATTCGCGTAATTTTACGTCCCCAAAAGATCGATTTTTTTATTATTTTTTTTTTAAGTTTTCGATTGGGAATTTTTGTATCAAAATTGGGAAAAAAACATACTATTTTCAATTGGGAATATATCCGAATAACGGCTATAAAATCGGCCAAAAAAAAACCCTGTTATCATAACTGTTACATAGGCATTCGGTGGTGAGTATAAATAAACTAAAATTCACCAGGGCTTTTTTTTCAATTTTGGGGAAACGGCCTGGCCTTTCATTAGGGGAAAAAATGCGCGAAAAAATGACATTTTGGGGAAAATCTTTTACATTAAAAAATGAGTTAATAACTTTAAAATAAACAATAAAAACATGCCCTAAAAGTGAGGTGAGTCATAAACAATGAAAACAGTTAATATCTCAGAACCTCTTTGTGACCTTAAACATACAAAACCACTTTATTTAAGTTGGAATCACTTGAGTCAATATCATTTGTGATGTTGCCAAGCTTCAACATTGCTGTAACCTCCTCACACACCTCCCCTATTTATTTCAGAATGGTTGCTTTGATTTTTCTACATGTAAAAACTGCTAAATTAATTAGATGATGATTCTCAAAGGACATTTTGACAGTTAATGCACAAAAATCAATTGACTGTTTATGTTTTGTAATTTATTTCCTTTAACTAACTCATTCCTCTCCAAATTCAAGCCGAAAATCAAACAGGAAGTAGGTCGCGAAAATATGTGATAATAGAATATTTTGCCGATTTTTATGCTCCCCGAAAAAATTTCGGGGGAGCATATAGTCGCCGCCTTGTCCGTCCGTCCGTCTGTCCGTCCGTCCGTCCCCTTTTCTTGTCCGGGACATAACTTTGAAACAACAAGAGGTATCAACTTTAAACTTTGTAGGTAGATAGATCTCATTGAGTAGGTGTGCAGTGCACAAGAACCGTAACTCTGCCTTGCCTAATTTTTGAATTATTCCCCTTTGTTTATTTTTACACTTTGAACTTTGTCCGGGACATAACTCTAAAAGTATAAGAGGTATCAACATGAAACTTTGTAGGTAGATAGATCTCATTGAGTAGAAGTGCAGTGCACAAGAACCGTAACTCTGCCTTGCCTAATTTTTGAATTATCCCCCTTTGTTTATTTTACACGTTGAACTTTGTCCGGACATAACTCTAAAAGTATAAGAGGTATCAACATGAAACTTTGTAGGTAGATAGATCTCATTGAGTAGGTGTGCAGTGCACAAGAACCGTAACTCTGCCTTGCCTAATTTTTGAATTACCCCCTTTGTTTATTTTACACTTTGAAATTTGTCCGGACATAACTCTAAAAGTATAAGAGGTATCAACATGAAACTTTGTAGGTAGATAGATCTCATTGAGTAGAAGTGCAGTGCACAAGAACCGTAACTCTGCCTTGCCTAATTTTTGAATTATCCCCTTTGTTTATTTTACACTTTGAACTTTGTCCGGGACATAACTCTAAAAGTATAAGAGGTATCAACATGAAACTTTGTAGGTAGATAGATCTCATTGAGTAGGTGTGCAGTGCACAAGAACCGTAACTCTGCCTTGCCTAATTTTTGAATTACCCCCCTTTGTTTATTTTACACTTGAAATTTGTCCGGACATAACTCTAAAAGTATAAGAGTATCAACATGAAACTTTGTAAGTAGATAGTTCTCATTGAGTAGGTGTGCAGTGCACAAGAACCGTAACTCTGCCTTGTCTAATTTTTGAATTATCACCCTTTGTTTATTTTACACTTTGAACTTTGTCTGGGACATAACTCTAAAAGTATAAGAGGTATCAACATGAAACTTTGTAGGTAGATAGATCTCATTGAGTAGGTGTGCAGTGAACAAAAACCTTAACTCTGCCTTGCCTAATTTTTTAATTATCCCCCTTTGTTTATTTTTACACTTTGAACTTTGTCTGGGACATATTTCTTAATGTATAAGAGATATCAACATGCAACTTTGTAGGTAGATAGATCTCATTGAGTAAGTTTGCAGTGCACAAGAACTGTAACACTGTCTTGCCTACTTTTGTAGTTATTGCCCTTTGTTCATTTTGACACTTTGAACTTTGTCTGGGACATTACTCTAAAATTATAAGAGATATCAACATGAAACTTTGTAGATAGATAGGTCTCATTGGGTGGAAGTGCAGTGCTTAAGAATCATTACTCTGCCTTGCCTTATTTTGAAGTAATTGCCCTTTGTTTATTTTTACTTTTTGACTTTTGTCCTGGACATTACTTTAAAACTATTAGAGATATCAACATGAAACTTTGTAGGTAGCTAGATATAATTGGATAGAACTGCAACGCTTCAAGAACCTAAACAAAGCCTGGTCTAATTTTGGAGTTATTGCCCTTTGTTCATTTTTTTTATACTTTCCTGTGTCCAGAACCTTCTCGGGGAGCATCACCCGGTTCAACCGGTTCTTGTTGGTATTAATATAACTCCATGTTCCTCCAGACTATGATTGAAATCTATAAAAATAAATAATATAACATATTTTTACAAATTTCTGCATATCTTGAGTAGAGTTTTCACAAAGACAGAATGTTTAGAGATATGATCAGCGTAATTGGGATGATTTCCCATCGTCGGCATTGGACTTTTTACTTGCAGGACAATCGGTAATATCAAACACTGTAGGCCTATAAAAATTTGAACTATTTGAACAGAAATGTGATTTTTTAAACAAGCAAGCCATAATAGTTGACTTTTTTCAGACTGAGGGGAATTTTTTAGCTCAAGGGGAATTTTTTTTCAGCTGGGGAAGTAGCCGTTAAACGGCTACAGTTATATAGCAAAAAAAACCCTGTTCACACACATACCTTTGACATGTTAACCTCGCTAAATTAAATAACCCACAAGCCCAAAATCAATTTAAAATCCTGCACTGTGAATAGAGCGGCCATGACAGGAAGTAATTGGCGTTTGATTTACTAGGGGACACAACTAAAGCTGGACTGTAAATTACAGTGTTATTTACAGTCCAGCTTTAGTTGTGTCCCCTAGTTAATCAAACGTCATTACAGTAATGGCTACCTGTTTACACTACATTCATGATTTATAATTTTCTTTCGAAAGTTTTTCCTTTCTTTTAAATATAATTAGTATTATTTGTGAATATAATATATGTTTACATCATTGAATGGTTTTAGAAAAAGATAATGTCGATATTCATTGAACAGTGAGTAAAAAAATCAGCGTTATATATATATGCAGTGGGTGGGGTAATGCGGTAATTTTGCAATGAGCGTTCTAATGAGAGCCTCGTTAGAACGCGGTGTTGAGACATTGGACCCCAACATGAGCATTTTAATGAGGCTGAAGTGTAGTTATGACAATTCTATTATAACAGATAGTCACATGATGAATAACATTACTTCAATGAATTAAGTAACAGTGACCATTAACAGCTAAATAACGAATATGAATACTACAAATCCGCCTGAAATAAAGACATATAAAAGACAATACAACCTAAATAATACAAGACTATACAAATATACATGAAGGCAAGCCAGGGCTCACGCTGTCGGTCGCCATAGTCGCCATTTGCGATTATTTTATAAGATTGGCGATTATTTTTGCATTTTGGCTACAAAATCTGGCGATTATTTTTTACTTCCAACAGTGTTAATATAAGTTGTAAAAATCGATAATGAATGCAGTAGTCTGAGTAGACCCAATTAACATCAGCGGGGTGCATTTAATCGAGTGTCAACTTAAAGTCTTTTTACCGGTTACGTGCTGCTAACTATATTGCCCGAGGTGATAAAATACATGCGTGATGTATAATTGTATAAGTACTTTAAAGATATTGTCCAGCATTTATAATAGCCATCAAATATCCGTCAATTAGCCACAAAAATCGTTTTAAAATTGATAAACTGGATATTGACTTACCCAAAATTTACCGTGAATTGCAGTAATAACTAATTGCAAATTTTGATAATTTTTTTGTTTTAAGCTACTTAACTAAATCGCCAGTGGAAAGCAATGGTAAAATATTTAAAAAGTATAAACTTCCAAACAACTATTTGCACAACAACCAAAATTGTGAATATTTCTTGAGAAAACAGGAAAAATCCGATTGTCACATATTTTCGCGACACCGATAATTTTGATATTTATTTTAAGGTGAAATAAGCTATGTTCTGTTTAAAAATCTTTACTACTATGGCAGAAAATTTGTTTTACATTGGTGATGATGATATTTTTCAGTAAATTATTCAGAAAAAAGGCTGCATTCTGTGAATGAGTTTGCAAACTTGTGTTATTTCTATAGGCTAATATGACCTAGATCTACTCCAGTTCTGTGTGAAATGTGGAAATTGACAGTGGTTATAGTTGACAAATTTGATTAGAACAAACAAAAAAAGTTGTCTGATAACAGCATTATGTAAAGTTATAATGAATCTTTAATATTATTGTTGTACAGTAATTATACTTATTATAACGTTTTTATTCTGTTCTATAATAACAATTAAAGTTGTGGTTCTATTTAAAAAAAAAAAAGGTAGTTATCAATATACACAAATGTGTCAGTTTATTTGAGAATCCTTATAAAACTGAAAGTTTTATATCAATGTAATGTTTATTTAATCAACTGCTTATGTTGTTAATCGCTAATTCGTGAATAGTCCGCTGAACTTTTGGCTATTATTTTTTTAAGCTGAAAATATTGGCTATTATTTTATTTGAGCCAGTGTGAGCCCTGCAAGCATTATACACACAAATGATTAACCCCTGCATATACGTGTAACAGCTATACATTGAAAGCTAAAACAAAAGTCAACAAATGCACATGTACATAAAGCGGAAGAAATTCATTAACAAAAGAACATGGCAAAAGAAACAAACAAAATACAAGCATACCATACACACCAATTAGAAAAAAGGGTGGGAGGGAGTGGCATCTGTAAAGAGAAAAAACCAACTCTATAACATAAACAACTTATAATGTCTCAAACATTTTGGATAAAATGTTAGCCTTATCAGACAAATTCAATTCCAAATAAGATTTATATGCATCAGATTTCCAATCACCTAAATGTGGATAATGCTGCTTATATAAAACAGAGTCAGATGATCTTGAAGTTATTCCAGATTTAGTTTTGTGTTTTTTACTCTTAACCCTAACATTAGACTTCTTTTGGGTTAAAGATGTATCAGAATGACTATCTTCTTCTGAAGAAGAACTTGATTCGGTAGTATCACAAGAATCTGTACCAGAAGACTCGGAACTAAACAAACCCAAATTTGCTAATTCCTTCTTAGCGGACTTTTTAAGACCAGGCACTTTCCGTAAAGCGTCAATAGTAAGCAACATACCTTCTTTTGAAGCACCTAATACTTTGGACGAAGTCTGTTTACTTGCCGATGAAGCACTCAAACCTGTGTGTTTGCCCTTCCTGTCAACTTTACTCTTCTTCTCACAGGTTGAACCAGACGCAGACAATGATTTTTCAAGGTCCTGGATGTAAGCTTCCTTTTCCTCCACCTGTCTTTTAAGCATCTCCAGCTCATTTCGCTCCTGTAATCGAGCCTGCTTCTCATCCAAGGCCGACAAACGAGCCAACAAACGTTCCTTTTCGACATCACCCGGAAGTAACTTTGACGGTGACACAGTAACATTCTCCCTGGGTAAATTGTACAATTGAACGGGAGAAATCAATAACACCTGGAATCTGTGGCTTCTTAGCCGGTGTGGTACTTCTGCCTTCGTTCATCGCTTTATAATCAAGAACTTCCTTGTTTCTAGCGGACTTTCTTTCACTCATGATTCCAACAATAATCAAATTCAAAATATACCTGTCCTTCGCACAAAAAGGCTACAAGCTGATCCCCCAAACAGCTGACTACCAGTAATAAATTGTCCCACTCACTACATCATGAACGTAGAAATAATGAAAAGAAAATATCTGAGAACAAAGACGGGCACAGTGAAACCCTTCCACACAAATCAAATTTTTCCTAAAGCGTCAATCAACAAACGTGTCTTACAAAACTGTAACCAAAATAGCGCCAAAAACGACTATTTATAAGAAAAGGCGTAGTAATACAAATACTATGGAAACTGTCAAGCGTGAAATTAACCTTTAACCTAACAAGGACCAATGAGAAAGCCTGTTATATATCCATAATTAAAAGATTTTATTTAGCAACAAAATGCTTCATTTGTTCAAATAAAAGCTCTGGGGTTAAAATTGGCTCAGCCCCAGGGGGTCATTGATTTTCCCTATATGCATATAGTAAAAACCTAAAAAATCTTCTTTTAAACAACCCAAAGAGCTAGAGCTAAGATATTGAGCATGAAACATCTTCTAATGAGTGTCTACCAAGTTTGTTCAAACAAAAGCCCTGGGGTCAAAATTGGCCCCGCCCCAGGGGGTCATTGATTTTCCCTATGTGCATATAGTAAAAACCTAAAAAATCTTCTTTTAAACAACCCAAAGAGCTAGAGCTAAGATATTGAGCATGAAACATCTTCTAATGAGTGTCTACCAAGTTTGTTCAAACAAAAGCCCTGGGGTCAAAATTGGCCCCGCCCCAGGGGGTCATTGATTTTCCCTATGTGCATATAGTAAAAACTTAAAAAATCTCCTTTAAAAGAACTCAAAGAGCTAGAGCTAAGATATTTAGCATGAAACATGTTTTAATGGGTGTAAACCAAGTTTGTTCAAATAAAAGCACTGGGGTCAAAATTGGCCCCGCCCCGGGGGTCATTGATTTTCCTTATATGTGTATAGCAAAAACTTAAAAAATCTTCTTTGAAAAAACCCAAATAGCTAGAGTTTAGATAGTGAGCATGAAACATCTTCTAGTGAGTGTCTACAAAGTTTGTTCAGATAAAAGCCCTAGGGTCAAAATTGGCCCCACCCCGGGGGTCATTGATTTTCCTTATATGTGTATAGCCAAAACTTAAAATCTTCTTTGAAAAATCCCAATGAGCTAGAGCTTAGATGTTTAGCATGAAACATCTTCTTATGGGTGTCTACCAAGTTTGTTCAAATAAAAGCCTTTGGGTTAAAATTGGCCCTGCCGGGGTGGGGGGGGGAAGAGTGGGGGGACAGTCATTGGGTGTCTTCCAAGTTTGTTCAAATAAAAGCCCTGGGGTTTAAACAGGGGGGCCTATATACAGGTGAGCGACCTCAGGGCCATCATGGCCCTCTTGTATTTTATGTAGCTTCCATTATTCATAAGTTCTCTCAGTTATAACAGTATTTAGTTGTACTTCCAAACTTATACACTGTTGATGTCTGTTGTATTCCAGGTATATTGAAGGAGGTTATAGGAAAGTGTGTAGATGGAGCATCTGTCCTTAGTATATGTGTGTTTGGAGACACCAGATTAAATGAAGAGACGGGAAAAGTGTTCAAAAAAGATAAAGAAATGAAAAAAGGTATTGTATGTGTTTTAAAATAGTTTTTGTTTTTGTCAAGAGTGCTGACACAGTTTATAGAGGTTTTATTTTGAGCTCATCTTCTTCCTTCAAAAAAATTCAGTTAATTCAGTTTTGTCAGAGTTATTGCCCTTGTCCATTTTCAACTTGTGTCGCGAGAAGCCCAAATAGTATTTGACCTAGAGTCATGAAACTACAGAATTATTGGTTAGCATGTGAAGTTGTGCGTATGGGGTGTGATTGTTGATTTATTCAGTAATTGTAGAGTTATTGCCCTTGACTTGTAAAAACTTGCAATTTTCAACTTGTGTTGAGCGTACCCCAAAATTTATTTGATGCATGATTTTCATGAAAAAAATTTACACATATAGGCATACACATATAGGAGCCTTGTATAATGATTATTTAATATTGATGGATTTTTATTTTCATTCTACAGGTATTGCCTTCCCAACATGTGTCTCAGTAAATAATTGCATTTGCCATTTCTCTCCCCTCAAAAGTGATCCAGATGTGACAATAAAGAATGGTGATGTAGTTAAAATGTAAGTTATGAAATCTTGTTATGTTTGTTAAATTAATGTGTTTAAGTAAATCTACAATATTAGAATGCTTGTTCAGTGTAACAGTCAAGTACAATAAAAATTGTTATTAGGACACTTGTGAACGCAGAACATGTGCAAAGCAGGCGCAGGTTTGTGTTAATCAGCATGCCCATGCACTACAGTGCATAATTCCTGCACTAATTTATCATGCAGGCATAAAAATTGTAAGCAGTGGGTACATGCTTGTAAAATCATCAGAATGAATGTTTGGGATAGCTGTATATATGCATATGAACTAATGTCGTTGCCATCTTCCAATTGTTAGGAACAGTCTAAATCCGGTCTCAATTGCATGTCTGCTTTCAAAAAGTCATCTCAGTCTGATTCGTAAATATTTTAGCCACGTCATCTTGATGTCTTAAAGTAATGGATATTTACATCTGCTGACAAGTACTTTCAGTTCTCAAATGATCATCAAAAAGTTAGTCACTTGATTTTTTGTAACAATTAACTTCAATTGTGAGCTTTACAAATGTCATATGAAATTTAAAAAATGATGGTGTTGAATCAAGGTATTTTACTGCCTTATTTGTATTTCCCAGTGCTTTTTGCTTGTCTATTTTGAAGAACTTGTTAAAAGTTTCTGTTAAATTTGAGACCCCTTTTCCCAAAGTATGCCAAAATCACGCATTTTTTTCCCGAAGAAAAAGGCTGAGGCCCCTTCCCCAAAATAGGTGTTTTGGCCCTGATTAGCCTCAAATGTATCATTAATTTGAAAGTTTTAATGTGATGTTGAGACCTTAGACCCAAGCATGTGTGTTATAATGTGGTTCCCTGGACTTCAAATCACATGCTTCTCACTGCACTGGGTTCAAATCCTATCAGTGACATGGTTATTTTATGTGAGGAAATTATGCATTTTGCCGGGTCAACTCCAGTCATAGAATTTAGCACTGGCCTGGAGGCCCATGAGGCCAGTGAAAGTTTGGGCCAGTGTATATTTTAAGAAAATTTAGTTAGATATATAGTAGAATAAATTCAAGACTGGAATTCGGGCCAGTAAATTCAAAATCTAAAATTCAATGACTGCAACTTTAGTGGCTGCTTGTACTTGAAATAATGCATTAAAGTGAATCCGAGTTCTCTTTTCACTTAAAAAATCTTTAAAGTTGCCATGACATTGTCAGTGTAAGTAAGAACTTAACAAATCAAAATAATGTTGTGAAATGTCTTCAAAAAGTGTAGAATTTTAGATACTTGGTGTATAACATGTTGAGGAGCCCTTACATTAGTTAAATGAGCCACGACATGACAAAACCAACATAATGGGTTTGCGACCAGCATGGATCCAGACCAGCCTGGGCATCCGCGCACGCAGTCTGATCAGGATCCATGCTGTTCGCTCACCAACCCTTACAAGTAGAGAAACTGATAGGGAACAGCATGGATCCTGATCAGACTGCGCGGATGCGCAGGCTGGTCTGGATCCATGCTGGTCGCAAACCCATTATGTTGGTTTTGTCATGATGCGGCTCAAATTATAATGACTTATTATTTCAGAGATTTGGGAGCACAAATAGATGGTTTTATTGCAGTTGTTGCTCATACACTAGTAGTGGGAGCATCAGAGGTAAGATGAAAGCTTTAATTTATAAATGTTTGATGTTTACCTTTGTTTTAAAATTTCCTATTGAAATGAGAACAACAAGTAGTTCCTTATTATATACATGTATGTAGGTTGTACTTAAAGCTACGTTAAATTAAAGATATGTAAAAATATTTTGCTGTCGGCCTAAAAACCATGCATTCTACAGTTTCATTAACCTTTTTAACAGTATTGTTAAAAGTCTCATGAAATGTTGCTCATAAAAAGGATTTTAAATGGAAAAGCCCACAGTAACACTAAAGTTTGTTTACGAATTTTAACATGCAAATGAAGACTTTAATCAGCTCGTGTATGCGCTACGTCACAGTTTTATAGTTGCTATCCGGAACACAGCAAATATGATATTTTCTTGTACAAACACACTTTAACAGTTTTAGTTTCACGGTGCACTAAGCCTGGGGTTCAGAAAAAAATAATCATCTCATTAAAAAGATTAAATTTGTATGAAAACATCCGTTACAATGCAGAAATATACCGTTAAATTAGGACTGCTACTTATAGTGATGTTTGTTGATTTAATATTGATGTACGGATGATCTGAAGGCGGAGTTTCTCATGCAAACAGAAATAGTACTGATGATTTCGCCACAATGAGGTTGTCCATTTTTATGCTTATAAAACTCATTTTGGTTCACTGGACACCAAAATAAGATCTGGAGTCGATATGACACCCAATTTATAAATGAAATGTTGCAATTTCTGTTTTTATGAAATTTATTAAATGTAGCTTTAATTCACTAAATAAATACAAAAAAATAAAAGAATGGGGTAATGTGAGGAAAATTAGCATCAAGTCATAACATAGTATTTACAAGCATGAACATTTGTTTTCATTACCAAACCTTCTAGATATGAAGTGCTTAATTTATATAGATTAATGTGAGATAATATATTGTATTATTAGAGTAACAAGGTAACTGGTCGTAAAGCAGATGTAATGATGGCAGCAGTTAATGCAGCAGAAATAGCTTTACGTATGGTCAAACCTGGTGCTGAGGTAAGTAAATCTTTCTATAACAACATGTGTAACTTGTACATATGTATTCATTTTACTGATAGGGAAAATTTTCATGTTATGATAGAGAATATTTTCACCTTATGATTTAGCTCAGTCATTAACTATACAGTTGTTGCATGAAAGAGAACCAGTGGTATACAGAGGGTTTTTATGCCACCGCAGCATCTGTGTGTGTGTGTGTGTTTGTTTGTTTGTTTGTGTGTGTGTGTGTGTTATATAGATTATATAGTGAACTTAAAAAATCTTCTTGTGAAAAACCACTAGTCCAATTTCAACCAAACTTGGCAGGATTGATCCTTGGGTGAAGGGCTTCCAAAGTTGTTCAAAGAATTTAATTCCATGCAGAAATCTGGTTGCCATGGCAACCAAAAGGAATTATAAGAATAAATTTAAAAAATCTTCTTGTAAAGACCCAAAAGGCCTAGAGCTTAGATATTTTGCATAAGGCATTGTCTGGTAGACCTCTACCAAGATTGTTCAAATTATAGCCCTGGGGTCAAAATCGGCCCCGCCCCGGGGGTCATTGATTTTCACTATATGTACATATAGTAAAAACTTAAAATACCTTTTTGTAAAGACTCATAGGCCTAGAGCTTAGATATTTTGCATAAGGCATTGTCTGGTAGACCTCTACCAATATTGTACAAATTATAGCCCTGGGGTCAAAATCAGCCCTGCCCCGGGGGTCATGGATTTTCACTATATGTACATATAGTAAAAATTTAAAATACCTTCTTGTAAAGACCCAAAAGGCCTAGAGCTTAGATATTTTGCATAAGGCATTGTCTGATAGACCTCTACCCAGATTGTTCAAATTATAGCCCTGGGGTCAAAATCGGCCCGGCCCCGGGGATCATTGATTTTCCTCATATTTACATAGTAAAAACTTATAGTAAAAACTTTAAAAAAAAATTCTTCTAGCAATTGACAAATGCTAGAGGTTAGATACTTTGCATGAAACATTGTGAAGTGAACCTCTAGCAAGAATGTTCAAAATAATAGCCCTGGGGTCAAAATTGCCCCTGCCCCGGGAATCATTGATTTTCAATATATACATATAGTAAAAAATCAAAAAAATCTTATTGTCTGAAGGTACAAGGCTTAGAGCTTTAATATTTGTTAAATGATATCATGTATAGGTACTCTACCAAAGTTGTTCAAATTTTGCCTCTAGTGTCAAAATTAAAAGTGAACTTTGATATCAGCTAACCTAGATTTTGACAAAGTGTATTACATGTTGTCCTTTGATGCAGTCATGAAATTTTATGCTGTGTGAAATATGACCTTCACCACCAAATTCACTAGACTCAAGTGCATTGATATATTCCTACTCTGATCTTTTATTGAGTTAACAATAGATTTAACCACTAATCTGATAATAAGAATTAGATATGCATTATGACAATCTTCAATTGTATAGAAACAAAAAAATCTGTTCCTACACTACCATTTAGTGTTGTATTATTGCGGTGGCATAGCATTTTCTCAAATGCAATCTTGTTTTTCACTTAAAGGGGGAAGAGGGTCGGTGCCCTTTGGAGGGAAAAAAATACAATAGGAGGGGGAATTTTATTTCTTCACAATTGAGAAACAAAAAAGAATCCAGTGACCTGTAAGATTTACTGTTGTGCGACATTGTTTTCTTTCCGGAAGAAAAGGGGAGCAACTCTTGCAACACAAGTTTAAAGTATGTCGCTTTTTCTTAATATATGGATCTAAAATATCGAGGTGAATTTAAAGCGTTGCATGTTAAACTTGTTGGGACACCTGGAGTTCCCTTACCTTCCTGGGAAGGATTTGTAAACAACCTTGTTTAACAGTAAGTCTTACAGGCATAAAATGAAACATTTTTCAGCAGTTAGTTGCAAAAAATGATATTCATTGCAGTCAAATTCGGGCTGTCGTATGGGGGAACATTTCGGCTTTGATGAGGGAAAAAACCATACTATTTTGAGGTGGGAATGGGGCTGAATTTCGCCGAATATTTTGTTGAAAAATAAACAAAACTGGTATACCATCACAGGATAACATAATAAAGATAATGATGCAACTTATAACCTGATATTATAGATGAAATTAAACTTTTCTCTTAAAAACTGTTATAGATCCTTGTTTACACAAATATCTGATATAATTGATTTATGGTAGCAAACTATAATAAAAGAGAATTGTGATTCCAGTAGCAATGATGGGAGGTGAACTGGTAGGAAATTTATTATCATAGTGTATTGTTACTTTACAGAATTACACAGTTACAGACGGTATACAGAGAGTAGCAGAGGCATTTAAATGTAAACCTATTGAAGGTTAGTAAATTACAATAAACTAGTAAATATTTTAAATATAAAATTTGTGTAGAAGATGACATAAGGTCATGTTTACATTTTTATGCATGAAGATAATTAATATAGATGGTATACATGTATAGGAGAAAGTGAAAGTACATAAAGTATTAGAGAAGCAATATATGTAAGAGAGGAAACGCCCTCAAGGAAAATGCAGGATAAATGACCGTGATAAGGTGCCTGAAATGTACAATTTGCTTTTAGATAGAAATCTGTGCTTGACACTTCCTTTGTTTGCAGGAAATCTGTTGTGGGAGTAAATCTAACTGTAACAAAATTGAACTTGGCATAACAATAACTCAACTATCCTTACCTTGCAAGTTGTAAATGTACCTGAGAAGTTGTCTTTTCTTTTACTATTTTAGTAAATAATGATATATAGTCATAAACATATATACAATTAGCTGTGTTTCATTTAGAAATCAAAAAACAAACACAAATATGGTTATGATTTGTGAAATCTGACACTGTCCAGAATATTCATTTCCTCTATTACAAACATGTTTTTTGAACCATGTGCAATTAGGATATCCTACTACTGAATAATGCTATTAAAAAGAAGGCATATATCTAAAATATGATAAATTCTTACAGGAATGTTGTCACATCAATTAAAGAAAAATTTTATAGATGGTGAGAAGGCAATAATTCAGAATCCCTCTGAAAATCAGAGGTAAGTAAATGTGATGAATTCAGTGGCATATATATAATCAAAGCACAGAAGGTGCTGAATTTGTTTGGGTCTCAGAATGTCAGAAAGGTGAAGGTTTTGAGATTATAAACCAATTTGTTAGTATGAAGTCACCAATGCTGTTTCCAGTGTTATAGCTATAGTAAATTGGCTATAAGACTAATTGCAACACTGATATTCAATTAAATGTTTATTTGGCTTAAACAATTATAATAATAAAATTAAAAAAACAAAACAAAAAAAAACATGAGTTGCCTGAACTGGGCTTTGAACTCCAGACCCCTCGCTTCCAAAGCGAGCTTGTAAACCCCTCGACCACGGGTGTTATAAGATAACAGCCTGAAGAATACCATTATTATGCCCCCATTTCGAAGAAAAGGGGGTATATTGCTTTGCACTTGTCGGTCCGTAGACCAAATGGTTTCCGAGTGATAACTAAAGAACCCTTAGGCCTAGGAACTTCAAACTTGGTATGGTGATTGGTCATGACAAGTAGATGACCCCTATTGATTTTGGGGTCAAGGTGTCAAAGGTCAAGGTCACATATGACCTTGTAAGCAAAAACAGTTTCCGATCAATAACTAAAGAACCTTAAGGCCTAGGAACTTCAAACTTGGTATGTTGATTTGTCATGATCAGTAGATGACCCCTATTGATTTTGGGGTCAAGGGGTCAAAGGTCAAGGTCACATTGACTTTGTAAGCAAAAACGGTTTCCGATCAATAACTAAAGAACCTTAAGGCCTAGGAACTTCAAACTTGGTATGGTGATTGGTCATGATCAGTAGATGACCCCTATTGATTTTGGGGTCAAAGGTCAAGGTCACGTTGAACTCTTGGGTAAAAATGGTATCCGATCAATAACTAAAGAACCCTTAGGCCTAGGAATTTCAAACTTGGTATGGTGATCGGTTATGACCAGCAGATGATCCCTATTGATTTTGGGGTTAAAGGGTCAAAGGTCAAGGTCACATTGACCTTGAAGGTAAAAACGGTTTCCGATCAATAACTAAAGAACCCTTAGGCCTAGGGACTTCAAACTTGATATAGTGATTGGTCATGATTAGTACATGACCCCTATTGATTTTGGGGTCAAGGGGTCAAAGGTCAAGGTCACATTGACCTCTTAGGTAAAAACGGTTTCCGATCAATAACTAAAGAACCCTTAGGCCTAGGAACTTCAAACTTGGTATGGTGATTGGTCATGATCAGTAGATGACCCCTATTGATTTTGGGGTCAAGGGGTCAAATGTCAAGGTCACATTGACCTCTTAGGTAAAAGCAGTTTCCGATCAATAACTAAAGAACCCTTAGGCCTAGGAACTTCAAACTTGGTATGGTGATTGGTCATGTCCAGCAGATGACCCCTACTGATTTTGGGGTTAAGGGGTCAAAGGGCAAGGTCACATTGACCTTGTAGGTAAAAATGCTTTCCGATCAATAACTTAAGAACCCTTAGGCCTAGGACTTCAAATTTGGTATGGTGATTGGTCATGACCAGCAGATGACCTATTGTTTTTAGGGTCAAGGGGTCAAAGGTCATGTAACATTGACCTTGTAGGTAAAAACCGTTTCCAATCAATTAACTAAAAACGCTTAGGCCTAGGAACTTCAAACTTTGTATGATGATTGGTGGTGACCAGCAGATGACCCCTACTGAGTTTTGGGTCAAGGGGTCAAAGGTCAAGGTCACATCGACCTTGTAAGTAACAACGGTTTCTGATCACTTAAGAACGCTTAGGCCTAGGAACTTCAAACTTGGTATGGTGATTTTTCATGACCAGCAGATTACCCCTTTCGATTTTGGGATCAAGGGGTCAAAGGTCAAGGTCACATTGACCTTGTAAGTAAAAACGGTTTCTGATCATTAACTAAAGAACGCTTTGGCCTAGGAACTTTAAACTTGGCATAGTGATTGGTCATGATCAGCAGATGACCCCTATTGATGTTGGGGTCAAAGGTCAAGGTCACATTGACCTTGTATGTTAAAACGGTTTCGGATCAATAATAAAAGAACCCTTAGGCCTAGGAACTTCAAACTTGGCATGGTGATAAGTCATGACCAGCAGATGACCTATTGATTTTGGGGTCAAGGGTTCAAAGGTCAAGGTCACATTGACCTTGTAAGTAAAAACGGTTTCTGATCAATTAACTAAAAACGCTTAGGCCTAGGAACTTCAAACTTTGTATGATGATTGGTCTTGACCAGCAGACGACCCCTATTGAGTTTTGGGTCAAGGGGTCAAAGGTCAAGGTCAAGGAGATGACCAGTAGATACTTGATAACCCTTATTAATTGTTTGATCACTGGGTCAGAAGTCATGCATAATTACCTTATCACATGAATAATTGGCTGCTGATAGGGGGCATACATGTTTTACAAACATATCTTGTTCTAAATTAGAGTTTGTAACCCTTATTAATTTCGATATATTTTGTTCATGGTAAACCTGTTGTTTAACACTGAAGTAAATAATCATGGAGCTGAATATAATCATGTATATCTATAAGAATAACACAATATTAGAAATCTCCGACCAATCGGGAACAAAAATTAAATAGCCTGTCACTTGACAATCTTTACGCAGTAATCTCTCCTTAATTTTTCGGCGTTAATGTACATATGAAGGGAAGTAATCTCTTCGAGGAGTTTGGACTACTTTTGGTATTTGCAAATAAGAACATCAGGGTCTGAAATTTCGCTATCGTTATTTGTTTGGTGTGACGACCCAAACAAATAAAAATGGTGATTATAATTAATAGAATTGTAATAAAAGGTTTGAATCCATTGTAATTGTATTTTTGAAACAATAACTTTCATAAGTGGCCATCGTCTACATTAAAAACTTGTTGTGTGTAGCTTCATCAAATTTTGATATTTTCCCATTGACACAATGACATGGAAAAAGTGTCTTCTTTAAGCGATAAACTATGTTTTTAGCTCGACTATTCGATAAGAATAAGTAGAGCTATTGCAGTCACCCGAGCGTCCGCGTCGGCGTCGGCGTAACCACTTATGTTAAAGTTTTTGTAATAGTTCAAATATTTTCAAAGTCCATTGACATATGGCTTTGAAACTTTGCACACTTGTTCACCATCATGACCCCAACCTGTAGACAGGAGGAGGTAACTCTATCAAGCATTTTGACAGAATTATGCCCCTTTTTCGACTTAGAATTTACGTTAAAGTTTTTGTAATAGTTCAAATATTTTCAAAGTCCATTGACATATGGCTTTGAAACTTTGCACACTTGTTCACCATCATGACCCCAACCTGTAGACAGGAGGAGGTAACTCTATTAAGCATTTTGACAGAATTATGCCCCTTTTTCGACTTAGAATTTGCGTTAAAGTTTTTGTAATAGTTCAAATATTTTCAAAGTCCATTGATATATGGCTTTGAAACTTTGCACACTTGTTCACCATCATGACCCCAACCTGTAAACAGGAGGAGGTAACTGTATCAGGCATTTTTTTACTATCAAGCACGAAGAATAGTCGAGCGTTGCTGTCCTACCGACAGCTCTTGTTATCTAACTTTATACTTGTTGATAAAAACTATAATGTTTTGATTTGTTTGATAATAATTGAATTCTTGCCAATGGTGTATTGCAGATAGGGTCAAGGTCAGTTACTAAGGATAGGAAATTGCTTTCCAGTAAATATCTATGAGTTTTGAAAGATACTTACTGTTTAGCAAGCAAGACCTCGCTCTGGGTTGCATTCGGGCTTCCTTAGGTTCAAGGCCAAGGTCACTCAAAATAGAAAATTGGTTTCCAGCCAAAAACTGACTGTATAGCAAGCTTATGAGAAGACCTCACTTTGGATTGCATTTGGTCCCCTTAGTGTCCCTCCCCCATCAAGGTCAATATAATATTAGTTTTTCCATCTGATTTTCAAAGAACTTTGTGTATTTTTTTAGTTTCTCCATAATTTGTATGTTGCTTGTATTTGTATTCAAACTACAACAAAATTTTATGATTCTTGTTATTATCCCTCGCCGGAGGATATAGAAATAGTCTCCGTCCTTCCGTCCGACATTTTTGTCCGGAGCATATCTCTAAAAGTATTTGAGTTATCAACTTGATAGACCTCATTGAGGAGGAGTGCAGTGCACAAGAATGATAACTCTACCTTGCATGATTTTTGAGTTATTGCCCTTTGTTATTTTTCAAAATTGATTTTTGTCCAGAGCATAACTCTAAAAGCCTATGAGATATTAACATGAAACTTCATAGGTGCATAGATCTCACTCAGGAGGTGTGCAGTGCACAAGAATGATAACTCTACCTTTCATAATTTTTGAGTTATTGCCCTTTGTTCTTTTTCATACTTAATTTTTCAATTCAATTATTTTCTCAAAAAGTATTTGAGGTATCAACTTGAAACTTCATAGGTGGATAGATTTTACTAAGGAGGGATGCAGCACACAAGAATGATAACCTACCCTGCATTATTTTTCAGTAATTGCCCTTTGTTATTTTCAGCCATCAGTATTCACATAGGTTTCAAATCTGTAATCACTATAGCCATCAGTTTTCATTACCAAAATACCTCCTAAAATGGAATTATTCCGCTCTACTACATTTACATTCTTCCAATGAGCAAACATTCGGCGGGGGATGGCCATGTTGACATGGCTCTTGTTTATTTTGATGTTGTTTAAAAAAGCACTTATTTTTCAGGAAAGATCATGAAAAATGTGAGTTTGATGTATATGAAGTATATGGTATAGATGTTTTAGTCAGTTCTGGTGAAGGCAAGGTAAGATTGCATGAATTATTATTGTTCATTTGTTTTGACAATGAATATATCTATTTTTACTTAGACACAAATTTTTAGACCTAAAAAAAAGAGACATAGTTTTTATTCAATTATCTGTCTGTGCTGAAATCTCAGGCCTTGACAAATCAACTCAATAAAAATTGATCAAACAGGGCGAGTAAGATTCTCTAGATCAATATTATGTTTCTCTAAATATTCAATATAAATGAATTTATTAGTCCCCTACCGGTTTACCGGAGGGGACTTTAGGTTTACCCTCCGTCCGTCTGTCCGTCTGTCCGTCCGTCTGTCTGTCAGTCCGTCAGTCCGTCCGTCCGCAAAACTGGATCCCGCGATAACTTGAAAAGTAATGAAAATATTTTTATGAAACTTGGTATATGGATAGATGGCAGTATGGAGATTATGCACGTCTTTTTCTTTTCTTCCTATGTTGAAAATTCTGGTTGCTATGGCAACAAATAGGCTGAAAATATGGCAAATTTTACACATAAACTGGATCCAGTGATAACGCAAAAAGTACTGGAAATATTTTTATGAAACTTTACATATAGGTAGATGGCAGTCTTGAGATTATGCACGTCTTTTTCTTTTCTTCCTATGTTGAAAATTCTGGTTGCTATGGCAACAAATAGGCTGAAAATATGGCAAATTTTACACATAAACTGGATCCAGTGATAACGCAAAAAGTACTGGAAATATTTTTATGAAACTTGACATATGGGTAGATGGCAGTCTTGAAATTATGCACGTTTTTTTCTTTTCTTCCTATGTTGAAAATTCTGGTTGCTATGGCAACACATAGACTGAAAATATGGCAAATTTTACACATAAACGGAATCCAGTGATAACTCAAAAAGTACTGGAAATATTTTTATGAAACTTGTTTTATTATGTTTTGTGGTCGATATTTTCAAATACAGACTTCATCCTCAAATTCATTATAAATGGCAATACACAGGAGTGTATGACAATTAAAGAACTTTTTGAGGGACCGGTAGGGGACTACTGTATTGCCCGCAATACTATCAAATGCTTGTTTAGTTAACTATGAAACAGCAAAGGCCATTTCAATCGTTATACTGTCGACCGGAAACTGACCTTATGATTAAAGAGAGAAGGTGGTGGTGTTGCCATTCTTCACAAGACCTCAATAAAAATCAAAATTGACTCGTCAAGTAAAGATGGAGACTTTGAACAATTCGAATTCATGGACTGTATCATTAGTGTTCGTGACTTTTCAACCCGCCTTGTTGTAATATATAGACCTCCTCCATCCAAAACGAATGGCCTAAGTACTTCAAAATTCTTGAACAATGAGTTTCCTGATTTTCTGTCGAAATATGCTGAAACTGACAAAACCACAGTGTTTCTAGGAGATACAAACTTTCACATTGATAAACTTGATAATCGTGATGCGCAGAATTTCTTATCCATCCTGAACACATTTGGATTAAAACAGTTAGTCAATGAACCGACACATGTAGCTGGACACATTTTAGATGTAGTCATAACAAGAGAAAATGAAAATGTAGTATCTGATATTAAAATAACTGATCCTGGATTTAAAACTTCAAACGGAAAAGTAACACGTGACCATTTTGCTATCCTAATGAAAGTTAATGTTTCGAAACCACCACCTATTCGTAAAACAGTCACATACAGAAAATCTCGTGATATAAACATTGAAGATTTCAAAGCAGATATTAGATCATCTGAACTTTTTGGTCCTAAACCAGACAGCATGGCAGAAGCATCAGAGAAATATCACACTGTCCTTTCATCTTTGTTAGACAAACATGCACCTGAGAAAACAAAAACAATTGTTCTCAGACCCCAATGCCCGTGGTTCAATCAAGAAATACATGACGAGAAACACATTAAACGTAAACTTGAAAGAAAATGGCAGGAATCAAAATTAACTGTAGATCATGAAATATACAGAAGTCAGTGCTTAGTTGTAAATGATGTAATTGAAAGATCTCGTGAAACATATTACAAAGACAAAATAAAATCGTGTGGTAATGATCAAAAACCAATTTTCAAAGTAACAAATCATCTCCTCGGAAACAAACCTGAAGTTAAGCTCCCATCACAGACTTCTGCTAAAGAACTAGCTCAAGATTTTAGTGATTTCTTTGAAAACAAAATTGAAAAAATCAGATCTGACATAGCATCTAAAAATGAATGCAATATAACAAATGAATCTAATTCAACTCAAATACAAAAGCCTAAAGAAACATTCAGTGAATTTGAAGTTATTACAGAAGAGCAAGTTCTTAAGCTCATATCAAAGTCATCTACTAAATCATGTGAACTAGATCCGATACTGACTTGGCTCCTAAAAGAATGCAAACTTGAAGTATCACCATATCTAACGCACATGTTCAACTTATCATTTTACACCGCCGACGTACCTCCACGCAATAAGACTTCGATAATCAGACCACTATTAAAGAAAGACAATTTGGATAAAAAAATTATGAAAAACTTTAGACCAGTTGCTAATGAAACATATGACTCAAAACTTCTAGAATCTGCGGCTGACTGTCAGTTTGATATGTTTCTCAACACTAACAATCTACATGAACCAAATCAATCTGCATACAGGAAATTTCATTCCACAGAAACTGCACTTATCAAAGTGCAAAATGACATTCTCCAATCTCTTGACAAAGGCGAAGTTACAATATTAGTAATGCTCGATTTATCTGCTGCCTTTGACACGATTGACCACAACACTCTTCTTAATCGACTCGAATGTGACTTTGGTTTTACTGGAAAAGTGCTCGCTTGGTGTAGATCTTATCTCAGTGGTCGCTATCAGACTGTTTGTATTGATGGAGAACTATCTGACCCTGTGCATATGACATACAGTGTCCCTCAGGGCTCTGTATTAGGACCAAAATTTTACATACTTTTCACAAAACCTGTCGGCGAAATTTGTCGAAAACATGGTCTGCAATGTCACTTCTATGCTGACGATTCTCAAATATACATTTCTTTCAAACCGTTGGACAACACCAAAACTGAACTTGTACTTGATTCTGTCTCAAACTGCTTAAAAGAAATAACATTCTGGATGAACAGCAACATTCTCAAACTGAATTCAGACAAAACAGAACTTATAGTCTTTTCGTCGGGTAGCAATACAGACTCAGTGAAAAATATAACTGTCAATGTGGACCAAGCTGAAATCAAACAGTCATCAAGTGTAAGGAATTTGGGTGCATTCCTTGATTCAAGGGTTAATATGGAACATCATGTTAGCTCCGTGTGCAGATCTTCGTATGCCCAAATAAGTAAGATAGGACGTATTCGAAAATATATCAACGAAGAAGCTACAAAAACACTCGTTAACTCTCTCGTGACATCAAGACTGGATTATTGCAATGCTCTTCTATATGGTATACCTCAACAAACCATGAAAAAACTTCAACTTGTTCAAAATACTTCAGCCCGTGTGATTAAACGTACATCTAGGAAAGATCATATTACACCAGTGATGAAAGATCTTCATTGGCTGCCAATCGAATATAGAGTGAATTACAAGATCTTATTACATACTTTCAAGTCACTGAAACAACAATCTCCATCATATATCCAGGAAATGATTCAAGTTTATTCCACTTCCCGAAATCTGCGCTCTTCAAATGCACCTGTACGATTAGTGCAACCAAAAACTAAACTGAAATTTGGTGAAAGGAGTTTTTCGGCATCAGCTCCTAAGCTATGGAATTCACTACCAAGTCATCTAAAAAACTGTAACACAGTAGAAAGTTTCAAAAAACATCTTAAAACACACTACTTCAATTTAGCTTATGGAAAATAATCAGTGACTGTTATGAATGAATTTTATAAACAGTGAATACGAAGTATCTGTTATTTGAATATTAGTTTTATTAAAAAGTTTTTTTTTTAAACAAACAATTTTTTAAATCAATTTAAGTATTTCTATTGTTTTATAACGATGATTTAGCAAGATCTTATCTATTATTATAAATCCATTGCTAGCATTTTTAAGCACAGAATATTTCTTTTTTTAAATCAAAAAAACAAAAAAAACAACTAACATTGATTTATCATAATAATTTACATGTGTTATATAATATATGGCTCGTGAATGCAGAGGGGTCAGATTTCAAGAATATTTAGTGTTAAGGTGTGGGGCGTGGCCCTTTCCTCCTGTGGTGATAGTAGTGATGTCATCCTGGGGGTCTGCATGCGCTGTGGGGAGGTATCTGACTCCCTCGGTACTGGACCTTGGTGTAGCAGTACTCATGCTATCCAGGTTCGTTAGGTTCAATATTCTTTTAGTCTGATGTCGCTGTATTCATTCTTTTATCAATCGTTCATATATTCTCTGTTGTAAAGTATGACAACAAAACAAAGAAAATCATCAATATGCATTTAAAGTAGCTTTTAATATTTATTTATGAGTTTATGTTAAAAGGCACATTATTTCTTACACATTTATATATTGAAGACAATTTTAATGTATGACAATAATATTGTAAAGTGAGTTTTAAGGATCTTTAAGTTATATTGTATTAATATGTAAAAATAATTCCATAATTTATACTTTTAATTAGTTAATGCAAAATATTTTTAATGTTCATAATCCTGTTCATTTATATTGTTTTAGACAGATATGATTGATGTAAAGCGCCTTTGAACATTTTAATGAAAAGGGCGCTATATAAATGTGGTATTTATTATTATTATTATTATTATGACTAAGTATAAAACTTTACCTAATGTGTATGATGAATCGATTCCATAACGCCAGCAGCCTTCGACCATGTTTTATACATACACATGCGGTGATGTTTTATACTTAGCAGACTTCCCGAAATACGTCGGTCCGACGGACATGTCCGATAAATTTTGATCAGGTCCGACAATTTTTTATTCCGGATCGGTCCGACTGTCCGGCTTTTATCCAAGCCGCATGTATACAAAATGGCGTCGCTAAAGGTGCCAAACCTTGGAAAAACCGAAAATCTACGTCAGAAGAGTGCACAGAAAAGCAATAAAATGATGAAAATATTAGACCTGAGACAAAATTTAATGAAAAATGAAAGCAGAACCATGAATCATTGGTGTATGACAGGGAGGAGATGAAAATGCGCTGTACAGATTGTGCCGATTTTTACGGCGAAAAAATAAAAAACAAAAAGTGTCTTAGAAATACAAACACAAGTTTTTCTTTGATTTTGATCAATTTTATTTGGTCCGACAGATTTTGTTTCGGTCCGACAGATTTTCATGGTTTGTCAGACCGAATGTCTGACAGTTTTTTTCAACTTTCGGGAAGTCTGACTTAGTAATGTGGTCGACATATTATTGGAATGGAATAAGTATTCAGGCTATGTTGAAGATTATTTAATAAAAGTATAGAAGTATAATGAACATTATTGAACAATATGTAATTAAATAAAGCCAATCCCCCATTATAGACTGGTAATTATGTCTCCCCCACCTCGGGGGGAGACATATTGTTTTTGCCCTGTCCGTCAGTCCGTCCGTCAGTCCGTCAGTCCGTCCATTCTTCGTTTCCGGACGATAACTAGAGTTCCTTTTGACCTACAGCCCTCAAACTTCATAGGATGATTGGTCTTATTGAGCAGATGATCCCTATTGTTTTTGGGGTCAGTAGTTCAAAGGTCAAGGTCACAGTGACCGTTGGTCAATTTCTCGTTTCCGGATGATAACTAGAGTTCCTTTTGACCTACAGCCCTCAAACTTCATAGGATGATTGGTCTTATAGAGCAGATGATCCCTATTGTTTTTGGGGTCAGTAGGTCAAAGGTCAAGGTCACAGTGACCGTTGGTCAATTTCTCGTTTCCGGATGATAACTAGAGTTCCTTTTGACCTACAGCCCTCAAACTTCATAGGATGATTGGTCTTATAGAGCAGATGATCCCTATTGTTTTTGGGGTCAGTAGGTCAAAGGTCAAGGTCACAGTGACCGTTGGTCAATTTCTCATTTCCGGATGATAACTAGAGTTCCTTTTGACCTACAACCCTCAAACTTCATAGGATGATTGGTCTTATTAATCAAATGATCCCTATTGTTTTAATGGTCAGTAGGTCAAAGGTCAAGGTCACAGCGACCGTTGGTTAATTTCTCCTTTCCGGATGATAACTAGAGTTCCTTTAGACCTACAACCCTCAAACTTCATAGGATGATTGGTCTTATTGAGCAGATGATCCCTCTTGTTTATGGGGTCAGTAGGTCAAAGGTTAAGGTCACAGTGACCATTGGTCATTTTCTCATTTCCGGATTTCTCCATTTCCATTCCTGTTTCCATTCACAGTTATTCTCAGCAGTGGGGGAGACATGCGCTTTTTTACAAAAGCATCCTCTAGTTAGTAAATTTCCTTTTTTTTTGTTCGATTTTTACAAATTTTGTCTGTTAAAATGCAGAGGGTTAGGGTTAGAAGGGCAAGTAAATTTGGAAGGTCCCTCTCTGCTCGGGGAGTGGCCCCAAAAAATTCATCAAGGCCTGCATCCATATTCTTTTATGTAGTTACATTGACTCTTTTGTGATAAATGCTTTTTGTTCGGTATATAACTGTTATTCATCTGATAATTTTGAATGAATATATTGCACATTGTTATGATGTGTCATTCAAGACACAGGTTTGTAGGTTGCAGATCAAGGTCACATGTCAAGAAGAAAGAAATTTTTTCATACAAGTACTATAATGTTGTTTTGCCTTGCTTTTAGTACAGGGAAAAGTCTGGTTCTACTGTGTGTCTACTTGGTGTGCCCTCTTGTGCCAGAAATAATACAAAATGGGGCACCTGAGATCACTCTCTACCAGTTAAACTGCCGTATGACCTTTAATGTGTCATTGTGAATTAAAATCCAAACAAAAACAAACAGACATCAATATGTCAGTAATAACTGTGACTGGTTAAATCTGTTATATTAAGGATTGAGTTAACTAACTATATGTCAAAGGTCAGTGTCTATTCTAGGACGCGCGATTGCGCAATTCACGCTAGTATTTCACAGATCGCGCACAATTCATAATCATGTGCGTGAAAATCGCGCATCTATAAAAAAGTTAATAAAATCGTAAAACTTCCATCCCTCATTATATTTGGTTGTTTTGTTTACATTTACACCGGAAACCAAAGGGAGTTAACTGTAAGCTAATTATAATAATTTAGTACCGTATGGTACTGGTTACTTGAGTTGACGGAAATTAACGGAATGTTCCGTACCGACCGGAACTAGTGTGCTATGTCTGACAGTTGGGCGCCATTTTAGTGTAGTAAATAATCAAGAAAAATGAGGCAATTCCTAGCTTGGCTACGATCTAGACGTGAAAGATAGGTCGATTGTTTGTATTGTCATACCCTTTATAATCAATTGCGACAGTTCTATAATAATCTGTTTTCATTTAAAACTTAGACCGCCTCCGTGGTCGAGGGGTTAGAGTCGATGACTTCTAATCCAGTTACCTCTCTGGCGTGGGTTCGATCCTCGGGAGATGCTTTGGTAGTTTGGCGTGGAGGAAGGTAGTCTAGTACTGGTGTAACTCTCCAGGAACGATGGTTAGGAAACTACCCGCCTATATGACTGAAATACTGTTGGAAAAAGGCGTAAAATGAAACAAACAAACATCATTTAAAAATTAAGGGGGGACAACTTCTGCTGCCTTAAATAAATATTTTCGTTTTAATTATTTCATCGGTTGAAAGTCTCAGTGTAAACTTAATGCAGACGATTTAATATTAGCAGTTTATATTGGCACCCCTAGATTTTGAAAATCGCCCCCTTTTTTGAAATAGAGGGGGGAAAATCCCCTATTTTTGAATTCCTAGAATAGACACTGAAGGTATTTTGCCAATTGATGTTCATTTTGGCTAAATAGCATGTTAAAATAGACCATTTATATGCCTTGTTAAATGCATTAACATCTGCAGACAGACACAGTTGAAGCTTGAGCCAGCAGGTGCAGGATTTGATAAGCAGAAATAAGTTGCCTTAGAGCTGATCTTGCATAAAAATATGTCTGATTTTGTAGATTTTTGTTTTATTTGTCAAAATAAGAAACTGTTGGTGTCTGGCTATACACATGCTAGTGCAATGTAATTTGACAGTTATGTCTTCATAATGAGACTACTAGGGTCATCATTGTAGTAAGCTATATTTACATTGCACCCTAAGTCATGCATTTAAAAAAGGACAACAATGATGCATGGTTGCATGATTTTATCTGTTAGTAAATGTTTTCTTTTAATAAAATCCTATGTTATTTTGCAGAAGGTAAGATAAATGTTGGTAATATATGTTTAAGTAATGGCGTGATGTTATAACTATATGTACACTGTAATATATCACATGATCATAAGTTTTTACGTTTAATTTACAGGGAAGAGAGATGGATACCAGGACAACAGTGTTTAAAAAGAAAGATATAGTCTATCAACTTAAAATGAAAGCTTCTAGACGTGAGTACTTTATAACATTTATAATTTATTGTTTTTGTTTTCCTAATGTTAACATGTTTAGTATATTTGAGTGTGACAACATTATTGAAGAAAACTAAAATAGTTATTTTATTGGCACTAGAGTTGTTTGACGACTGAAATATCAAACCCCTGTCAGTTGAAATTCTGTAACTATCACGAAATGATTTTCATTTGTATAATTTGTATTCATGTATTGTCAGTTAAAGGAAGGGCCAGGAAACATTTATTGCATGGCTTTGTTTTTATTACAGAATTCCTCAGCGAGACGGAAAAGAAATTTGGTCTGATGCCATTTACTCTCAGGTGTGTACAGATAGTCAATAAATAAAAACATGTTTTATTGGATGTTTAAAATTGTTTTAGAATTGAGACAGAAGTATTTGATTTATTTATTTCATAAATAACTTATAACTTGTGTTATTACAATGTAATGGAGATTTCACTTATGAATATTAAAATATTAATATATTTTCTACATATCTGTTGGTAATAATGGTTGATGATATCAAATACAAGATTTATTATTAAAAATTGCTTTATGCTGTGAACTTAGAATAGAATATTTTTAAAGTGATTTCTGGATTGTGAGTTGTTATAACTAAAGATGGGAATTTGTTGTGTCTGGCACAAAAGTTTCATCTACAGCCCAAAGGTCACTGTTGTGATATGAATTTTTCACCAAAATGCATTGATGGTCATGTCCTGATTCCCGGACAGATTTAGTTTTATAAATTAGCACATAATATGAACATGTTCAGTTCTAGATGGGTCATCATATTAAAAGGCAGATTATATCTGTATGTCAATAATGTCAGAAGTCATATTTCTGAAAAGATGGCCATGTTTCCCTTTGGTGGGTTGGGTGGGGGCATTTTAGATTTGTCCTTGTCTGTCCGCTCAGTGTGAGCGTTCCATAATGTTGTGTCACATCTGGGTTTACAAGAACTTGATCTAAAGTCAACAAACTTTACAGGAATAATTATCAGTATGTAAAGTTGTGCACCTAAAGTTTGTGTCTGGTTTAATTCAGTAAGTGTAATTGGCCTGGACATGGTAAAAAATTGCAATTATCAATTTGTGTTGAAGCTCAAATTGTATTTGACCTAGAGTCTGTAAACTTTACAGGAATATTTGTCAGTATTTGTACCTGGGGGTTGCTTGTGCATTTATTCAGTATTTGTTGAGTTATTTCCCTTGACATAGTAAAAATTTGCAATTTTCCCATAGCTCAAGATGTATTTGACCTGGGGACATGAAACTTATCAGGAATGTTGGTCAGCATCTGTAGTTATGCAGCTTGGTATTTGTGGAATTATTCAGTATTTGTAGAGTTGTTGCCCTTTACTTAGTAAAAGGTTTGCAACTTTTAACTTGTGTTGTGCGTAACTCAAAAAGTATTTGACCTCAAGTCATGAAACAGAATGTTGGCCAGCATGTGTAGTTGTGTGTCTGGGGTATTGCTTGTTTATATTTGAAACATACTTTAGAATAAAAATTTGTGATTTGGAATTCTTGTAGCTTTATATTGGGGCAAAGTAGAGATGTCAACATTGGAAAAAGTGGATGTTATTTTTTATGCCCCAACCACATGGGGAGTAGGTAGGGAGAGTTATGTAGATTTTCGTTTGTCTAGGTCAAAGGTCATGGTTCCTGTACAGGGTCATTTGGGGTCATATGTCTGTCACCAGTGACATTCATGATTTGTTGTTTTTAAATCAAGATGAAAGTTTGATATTTATTGATACAGGTTATTTGATGAAGAGGTGAAGGCCAGGATGGGGGTTGTAGAATGTGTCAAGCATGATTTGGTACAACCATTTAATGTTCTCTATGAAAAACCAGGTATGTTCTTTTTAACTATTTGAATAAAGAATTCTATAATGTCAATACTTGTTTTTTGTTAACACTCAGTCAAAAAAGTGTTCATGTTTTTCTGAAAAACATTTAAATTTACTATTTATTTTTATAATATAATTTCCCCCTGACTGTATGGTAGACTATTATCTCTATGGTAATGATAGAATGCCAGTTGCTAGGCAACATATTTTGATACAGATATTCGCTAGCCACAGGTAATTACTAGCAAATGTATATCTGTTATTATTAAAAAATGCAAAAACCCAACATTATCATTAGTTGAATAAAGTTCATATATTTGTTTTGTTACAGGAGAGATGGTTGAATAAAATTCATATATTTGTTTTGTTACAGGAGAGGTGGTTGAAATAAAGTTCATATTTGTTTTGTTACAGGAGAGATGGTTGAATAAAGTTCATATATTTGTTTTGTTACAGGAGAGGTGGTTGAATAAAGTTCATATATTTGTTTTGTTACAGGAGAGGTGGTTGAATAAAGTTCATATACTGTATTCCTAGAAATGTTCGCGGATACAATATTTCGCGTTTTTCACAACGTCGCCACTTTCGCGGATATGTAGTAACCGCGAATTCCGCGAATGTTAAGTCGCTATGGCCTAAATAACAGTTTTTGGAGCTACGTTTTTTATGATTGACTTTTCCTGTTGGGTGCTTTTAATTATTTTATTTTTTTTGACAAGTCGCGGCTTAAGAGCAATGTTACTCGATACATTTTCATCTATTGACTATTCGAACAAGGACGGTTGTTCCGTGAACACATTCATATTTCCTTACCTTTTTCATTATGTTATTAAGTAAGATTTAGTCAGACCCGTTAGCTTTTATTCTAATTTGAATCAAAACTGACTTTATCTTCAAAATGTCGATACGTATTTTTTACACATTATCGGACTGTACATCGCTTTCATTATAACAACATAACAGCTGTTTATCAATGTAGCACTTGATCGCTATTGTACTTTTAACAAAGGATTACACCTACTCCAAACAAATAAAATCCAAGACATTCAATGTTCGCAAACTGTAAATGCGTTTGTCAACGCCGTGACTAGCAAATAACGCCATGTTAATTACTAATAATGATTTTTTTTCTTTTTCAGCGTGCAAACTAGTATCAATAACATACATAAATAATTCTTTACACATTTCTATAACACCTATTTTTATATGTTGTTTTGTGTAAGTAGATTATAATAAATATTCTGCACTTTTTATGTTATATTTGGTTGAAGCTACAAATGTTCGCGGATTTGTTATAAGTGACATATTCGCGGCTATAAAGATTCGCGGAATCATGCCTACCGCGAAAACCGCTAACTTAAAATGCGCGAAATCTTTTCTAGGAATACAGTATTTGTTTTGTTACAGGAGAGATGGTTGAATAAAGTTCATATTTGTTTTGTTACAGGAGAGGTGCTTGAATAATGTTCATATATTTGTTTTGTTACAGGAGAGGTGGTTGAATAAAGTTCATATATTTGTTTTGTTACAGGAGAGGTGGTTGCTCAGTTCAAGTTTACTGTGATTCTCATGCCTAATGGACCACTGAAAATAACTGGCCTTCCATTTGACACAGATATATATGAGACGGAATACAGTGTACAAGACGAAGATCTTAAGGTAACACTGTAAAACTTTAACAGTTGACTAGTTATCTCGAAGTCATCAGCCTGTCAAAAAAAATCATTATGACATGCGCTATTGAGCAATTACCATCTGGTTTCTGATTTTGCACCTCTAAAAGGGACAGACGAAAAATTATTAGTCAAGATGAACAAAGGATAATAGTGTGAAAATAACTGATGGGGGCTGAAATTTTACTCTGAGATACTAAAAATATCGAAATAAAAATATCAAGATAAACAAATATTTCCAATATAGATAAAGAAGGAAAGAAATCAGGATTTTTGTGCCCCCACGTTAGTGGCGGGCATTTAGATTTACCCTTGTCCGTCCATCCGTTCACTTTTGTGTCGCACGTAACTCAAAAAGTATTTGACCTAGAGTCATGAAACTTTACAGGAATGTTGATCAGCATGTGTAGTTGTGCACCTGGGTATTTTCGTCTGGATATTTTTAGTATTTTCAGAGTTATTGCCCTTGACTTAGTAAAATTTTGCAATTTTCAACTTGTGTCGCATGTAACTCAAAAAGTATTTGACCTAGAGTCATGAAACTTTACAGGAATGTTGATCAGCATGTGTTGTTGTGCACCTGGGTATTTTCGTCTGGATATTGTTAGTATTTTCAGAGTTATTGCCCTTGACTTAGTAAAATTTTGCAATTTTCAACTTGTGTCGCATGGTAACTCAAAAAGTATTTGACCTAGAGTCATGAAACTTTACAGGAATGTTGATCTCAGCATGTGTAGTTGTGCACCTTGGTATTTTCGTCTGGATATTTTTTAGTAATTTTCAGAGTTATTGCCCTTGACTTAGTAAAATTTTGGGCAATTTTCAACGTGTCGCACGTAACTCAAAAAGTATTTGACCTAGAGTCATGTAACTTTACAGGAATATTGATCAGCATGTGCAGTTGTGCACCAGGTATTTTCGTCTGGATTTATTTTAGTATTTTAGAGTTAATGCCCTTCACTTAGAAATGTTTTTGCAATTTTCAACTTGTGTTGTAAGTTACTCAAAAAGGATTTGACATATTCATTAAACCTTACGGGCAGGTTGCTCAGCATATTTAGATTTGCACCTGGGGTTTCGCTTGTGGATTTATCCAGTATTTGTAGAGTTATTTCCCTTGACTTAGTAAAAAGATTGACAGAACAGTGGCGCGGTGGGGGCACCCGTGTCCTATGGGCACATTTCTAGTTGAAATTTCATCTACATAACGAAATAACAAGAAAAGCGATGTCGAGATAACGATAGTTGACTGTATATGTTTTATATTTATTTCAGTATTTATTAATGTCAGAGGATATTTCATTCCTAGCATAAATTATTCAATACTGTTACTGTGAATGAAGTTGTAGAAAAATTTTGATTTTGTGTTGGTTTAAAGGCACAATATGCCTCAGAATCCTATATCTTTTTAATTTTTTACTATTGTCAAACATGTTTTTTATAATTTTTAGCTCACCTGTCACAAAGTGACAGGGTGAGCTTTTGTGATCGCTTTTCGTCCGGCGTCCGTCCGTCCGTCGTCCGTCCGTCCGTAAACTTTTGCTTTAAATGACATCTCCTCATAAACCACTGAGCCAATTTCATCCAAACTTCACAGGAATGTTCCTTTGGTGGTCACCTTTAAAAATTGTTCAAAGAATTTAATTCCATGCAGAACTCTGGTTGCCATGGCAACCGAAAGAAAAATCTTTAAATATCTTCTTTTAAACAACCCTAAGAGCTAGAGCTTAGATATTTGGCATGAAAACATCTTCTAATGAGTGTCTACCAAGTTTGTTCAAATAAAAGCCCTGGGTCAAAATTGGCCCCGCCCCGGGGGGTCATTGATTTTCCCTATATGCATATAGTAAAAACTTAAAAGATCTTCTTTTAAAGAACTGTAAGAGCTAGAGCTAAGATTTTTGGCATGGAACATCTTCTAGTGAGTGTCTACCAAGTTTTTGTTCAAATAAAAGCCCTGGGGTCAAAATTGGCCCCGCCCCGGGGGGTCATTGATTTTCCCTAATATGCATATAGTAAACACTTAAAAATCTTCCTTTAAAGAACTGTAAGAGCTAGAGCTTAGATATTTGGCATGAAACATCTTCTAGTGAATGTCTACCAAGTTTGTTCAAATAAAAGCCCTGGGTCAAAATTGGCCCCGCCCAGGGGGTCATTGATTTTCCCTATATGCATAAAGTAAAAAAACTTAAAATCTTCTTTTTAAGAACCCAAAGACTAGAGCTTAGATATTTGGCATGAAACATCTTCTAGTGAATGTCTACCAAGTTTGTTCAAATAAAAGCCCTGGGGTCAAAATTGGCCCCGCCCTGGGGGTAATTGATTTTCCCTATATGCATATAGTTTAAAACTTAAAAAATCTTCTTTTAAAGAACTGTTAAGAGCTAGAGCTTAGATATTTGGGCATAAAACATCTTCTAGTAAATGTCTACCAAGTTTGTTCAAATAAAAGCCCTGGGGTCAAAATTGGCCCCGCCCCAGGGGGTCATTGATTTCCCTATATGCATATAGTAAAAACTTAAAAAATCTTCTTTTAAAGAACTGTAAGAGCTAAAGCTTATATATTTGGCATGAAACATTCTTCTAGTGAATGTCTACCAAGTTTGTTCAAATAAAAACCCCTGGGGTCCAAATTGGCCCCTCCCCAGGGGTCATTGATTTTCCTTATATGCATATAGTAAAAACTTATAAAATCTTCTTTTAAAAGAACCCAAAGAGCTAGAGCTAAGATATTTAGCATGAGACATGTTCTAATGGGTGTCTACCAAGTATGTTCAAATAAAAGCCCTGGGGTCAAAACTGGCCCGGCCCAGGGGTCATTGATTTTCCTTATATACATAGCAAAACTTAAAAATCTTCTTTGAAAAAACCAAATAACTAGAGTTTAGATATTAAGCATGAAACATTTAAGTAAATATCTACAAAGTTTGTTCAAATAAAAGCCCAGGGGTCAAAACTGGCCCTGCCCGAGGGGTGTCATTGTTTTTTACTCTATGTGTATAGTAAAAACTTAAAAAATCTTCTTTTAAAAAACCCAATGAGCTAGAGCTTAGATATTTGGCATGAAACATCTTCTAGTGAATGTCTACCAAGTTTGTTCAAATAAAAGCCCTGGGGTCAAAATTGGCCCCGCCCTGGGGGGTAATTGATTTTCCCTATATGCATATAGTTTAAACTTAAAAAATCTTCTTTTAAAGAACTGTAAGAGCTAGAGCTTAGATATTTGGCATAAAAACATCTTCTAGTAAATGTCTACCAAGTTTGTTCAAATAAAAGCCCTGGGTCAAAAATTGGCCCGCCCCAGGGGTCATTGATTTTCCCTATATGCATATAGTAAAAAAACTTAAAAAATCTTCTTTAAAAAACTGTAAGAGCTAAAGCTTATATATTTGGCATGAAACTCTTCTAGTGAATGTCTACCAAGTTTGTTCAAATAAAACCCCTGGGTCCAAATTGGCCCCTCCCCAGGGGTCATTGATTTTCCTTATATGCATATAGTAAAAACTTATAAAATCTTCTTTTAAAGAACCAAAGAGCTAGAGCTAAGATATTTAGCATGAGAGACATGTTCTAATGGGTGTCTACCAAGTATGTTCAAATAAAAGCCCTGGGGTCAAAACTGGCCCCGCCCCAGGGGTCATTGATTTTCCTTATATACATAGCAAAAACTTAAAATCTTCTTTGAAAAAACCCAAAATAACTAGAGTTTAGATATTAAGCATGAAACATCTTTAAGTAAATATCTACAAAGTTTGTTCAAATAAAAGCCCAGGGTCAAAACTGGCCCTGCCCGAGGGGTGTCATTGTTTTTTACTCTATGTGTATAGTAAAAACTTTAAAAAATCTTCTTTTAAAAAAACCCAATGAGCTAGAACTTAGATGTTTTGCATGAAACATCTTCTTATGGGTGTCTACCAAGTCTGTTCAAAAAAAAATAAAAGCCCTTGGGAAAAATTGGGCCGGGGGAGGGGGGGGGGGCTATATACAGGTGAGCGACCTCAGGGCCATCATGGCCCTCTATATGATGGCCCTCTTGTTAAATTATGGATTATGAACTTGTTAGATGTTTAACAACTGAAAAAAGTAGAGCTGAAAATGCAGTTGTGTGTCGTAAAGTTAGCAAAATGTAAACAAATTTTGACTTACATACAAAATACAAATTCAGTCTAATTATACAAATTGCCAAACAGAGCATAAGATAGTGTATGTATATAGCAAATGAGTATATTTTTGGAAACTATTACAAGATACCAAAAATAGATAGTTTCTGAGAAAATAAAAATGACATCATTTCTTAGGAATCATGGGCCTTTAAGATACTAACAGAAATTATGTTTTATTTATAGGTAAAAAGCAAGGTATATTTTGTTAAATTAAGGTATTGCAGGTAAAAAGCAAGTTATATTTTGTTATTTTAGGCATTGCTAGCCCAGTCAGCGTCACGTAAAGCTGCGAAGAAAAAGAAGAAGCGAGCTGGTAAAGCTGTAGCGGAGCAAGCTGAAGGTGGTGTAGAGATGGAAGCATGAAAAACCTGTTAAATTATCATACATTTACTCATTTACTTCAACAAGTGCTAAATTTGATTAGAAATGTTGAAAAGTGCTACAGTTGTAAACATGTTGTGATAAACTTGGAATTGTTGACAAGAATTGGTGGTTAATGCATTTAGGGGCTTGATCTGACCTTTACTTTACATGTACATCAAATTTTATTACTAAATGTTTGAATTCCTGAAATTTATTACAAATATTGTTTTTTATATTTTTGAAGCGGCAGAAATCAAAATGACTGTCTGAGATTTAAAATGAAATCTTTTTTTTTTTAGCTCGACTTTTCTATGAAAAGGGGAGCTATCCTACTCGCCCCGGCGTCGGCGTCAGCGTTGGCGTTGGCGTCACACCTTGGTTAAGTTTTTCGTACCACCCCACTTTATTTCAGAAGTATTACAAGTATGGCTTTGAAACTTACCATACTTGTTCACCATCATAACCTCCATCTACAGACAAGAGTACATAACTCTGTCAAGGTTTTTGACAGAATTATGGCCCTTTTTTGACTTAAAAAGTGTATTGAGCTTGGTCAAGTTTTTTGTACCACCTCACTTTATTTCAAAACCATTGGAGGTATTGCTTTGAAACTGACCATACTTGTTTACCATCACGACCTTCATCAACAGACAAGAGGACATAACTCTGTCAAGGTTTTTGACAGAATTATGCCCCTTTTTGACTTAGAAAATACATTGAATATGGGTAAAATCCACTTATTGCCTTAACCCTTTGAGATATTGCTTTGAAACTTTTAATGCTATTTCACATCATTACCCCCATCTGTACGCAAGAGAAGGTAACTCTGTCAGGGATTTGTTTTAAAAATTAAGGCCTTTTATCGACTTAGAATCTTGGTTAAGTTTTTGTACCAGTCAACTTTTTGACTGAACTGGTTGAGATATTAAATTGAAAGTTGGAATACTTGTTTACCATCATGGTCCCAAACATGGGCAGGAGAAGGTAATTCTGTTAAGGATTTTATTTGAATTATGGCCCTTTTTGACTTAGAAACTCAGTTAAAATTTTCATTCTTGTCCACTTGTTGACCTAACCATTTGAGATATTACTTTGGAAGTTGGAGTTCTTATGTGCCATCATGAGACCTATCTGTAAGCAAGAGAAGATAACTCTGTGAAAATGTTTCTTGATTTGTACTTAGAAATTCCTAGTTAAAGTCTTGTGTGCCCTTAACTGTCAAAGTTTTGTTTTATAGGCAAGCACTAAAAAAGTCGAGCGCGCTGTCCTTCTGACAGCTCTTGTTTAATTTACTTTGATGGGTAAAATGTCCAAAATCATTCTTCCTTCAGTTCCATTATTTTATATTGAAGTATTTGGTTACACTATCAGATAGAAATTAGTTAAAATATACCTTGATATACTGAGATTTTCCTGTGACTCCGGCTTATTGTTAGTGATAACATTAAAGTTTTAAGATGCAATTTTGATTTGTGTTGGAGAAAGAGCTATCTTGTAATATTTTTTTGTTTTTTTAGCAGTGTAATGTAAAGTAATATTAATTCAGATATTTGGTGAAATGCATAGAAATGGGAATTAGGGGAAAGGGTATAAAATTCTGTATGATTGATAAATATCTAAAACTCCTGCTGTTGATTATTTATTTGTTAAATTGGCAAATCTTCTGTAAAGAAAATGAATTTGAAAATTTTACTATTCACAATATTTAAAGAGATATTTGAATATATAGTGCTGAATTATATTCAAAATTTGTCACTGTTTATTTCTGAACAGCATGGATTAAAAAAAAATAGAAAAATCTTCAGACTTTATTTTATCTGTATATATAATACATTGTATATAAGTGAAGAACCACTATTATAGTTAGAGCGTATAGGATGTTTATATATTAATGCTCCTATATATCATTGTATCAGCTTGTCTGTCTTGAAGAAAAAGTCGCTATGACAACATTGTACAAGTTCTTTAAATGAAAACATCATACCAACATGAAACTCTGAATAGATGATATGGTATGACAAGGCGCAGTTGTTAAGACAAGTAGTGTTGAAAAACGGGTCCTATTATAGGAGCGTCCCTGTTGGGGTCGTTCAATTTTGTCCGGAGCATATTTGCTACACTAATGAAGGAATTTTAATGAAACTTAACAGAAATGTACCATTATGAGAAGCTGTGTTGCACGCATGAATCAGGTCAAGGTCACACTTGGAGGTCCTACATAAACTGATGATAAAGAGATTTCTGTATTACTTGGCACTAATGTTCACCATAGCGTGGAGACGTGTCATGCAAAATTTAGGTACCTGCCATCAAAGTCACACAAAGTGGTCAAAGACCATTTAGTCATCATTTATTGAGGGATAGAAACACAAATGGTCATTATCAGGAATACGGGTGTGAAGGTTAATATATGGAAGGTCAAGGTCACTACGGATGATACAGAGATTTTGTCTTGTGCATATCTCCTACAGGCATCCCAAAATTCTTATGAAACTTCATAGAAATGTACACCATTATGAGAAGCGTCTCTGGGACAAAGGTCAAGGTCACACTTGGAGGTCATTGAAAAACACAAAATATCTGCATGCATAGATTTCGATATTACTTGGCACAAATGTTTACCATTGTGAGGCGGAGGGTAGGGAGCAAAATCAAGGTCCTTGCAGTCAAGGTCACACATAGGTGTCAACAGTTCAGATGTGAATTCGGACCAGATGTGTACAGGGACTATTCAGTCATCATTTATTGATGGATTGTAACAAAAATGATGACTACAAGTGTGACACATGTAATTTAGGTGAATTTGCAACGTCACTTGTGATTACAACCGCCTCTGTGGTCGAGGGGTAAGAGTTGATGACTTTTAATCCAGTTACCTCTCTGGCGAGGGTTTGATCCCCAGGAGATGCTTTGGTAGTTTAGCGCGGAGGAAGGTAGTCTAGTACTGGTATAACTCTCCAGGAACGATGGTTAGGAAACTACCCGCCTATATGACTGAAATACTGTGGGGGGGGGGGGGCGTAAAATCAAACAAACACTTGAGATCACAAAATATCCAGATATTGCCCCCAGAGGAATAGAGCATTCCTTCAATATGCATATCTATAATGCCCACATCTCTGTTAAAACCTTTTATGACAGGCGTAATATGTAACAATGTTGCACTTGTTTTTAGCTCACCTGTCACAAAGTGACATGGTGAGCTTTAGTGATTGCTTTGTGTTCATCCATCCGTAAATTTTTACTTTAAACGACATCTCATAAACTGCTGAGTCAATTTTATCAAAACTTCACAGGAATGTTCCTTTGGTAGTCAACTTTAAAAATTGTTCAAAGAATTTAATTCCATGCAGAACTCTGGACCCGTATTCACTAAAATTTAAGATTAAATATTAATAAAACTGGACTTAACCTTTTCCCTCATATAAGCGTGTTTCGACGGCTCTTTCCCCCCCCCCCCCTTTTTGAGGCCTCAAACAGTGAAAAAATGCCCTATTTAGG